ATTCCTTGGATTACATTTGGTTAATCACCAAAGTATAATTTGACCAATGCTTCAAAGCATTATCCTAAATGAGATTAAACTGAATTAATGTCAGTTTATTTAGATAGGATTTCTAATAATTCATCATTAGACAAAAAGTAGAATCTTGGGAATGATCCTCTCTTGACTTCTAGATAATCTTCTAAAGATTTCTCTATTTATTCCAATGTCTCCAATGTTTTAGTTAAATTGTCTAACATATTTTACATAGCTAACAATCTCATAATCTAAGGTCTAAGATTGACTTGTTTGACTAACTTTTTTATTATTCTATCACAACTATCAAATAACTAAGATTCATTAGATAATTATTTCTTTATATCTTAACTACTAAAAATACTCTCCAAATACATCCACTTTTTTTAACATTCAACCCACTTCTCAATAATATCTGATAACAATAACAAATCAGACTAGAATTTCTCAGCTCTCTGTCTCAAAGGTCTAACATAACGACTAGCAAGTATATTAGACATATTGGCCAAACCTTCATCAAATAATTGAACTAACTCTTCCACTTCTCCCAAAACCATTACATCCAATTGATCTTTATAAGGTTTCAATTTCAATTCCACCTCATTCCATTGTGTCTCCAACAGTTTTAATTGAGTATTGAGTGAGTCCTCTTAAGCTGCTTTTACAGCAATCTCAGTGATCTACTCATTATGTTATGCTACATTCAAATCCAACAAGGTGTTCAGTGTAAAATATTGATCATTAACATCAAATTCTTATCTGACCAATTATTTTATTTCTTGCCAATGTGTTTATTACAAATATTGAGAACGTAGTGCTGTCACCACTGGAATAGTATCTTTGAATTCCCATACAATCTTCTTCAAATAGGTAATCACTCTATTTTCTTACAAATTCTTTTCGCATCTTTGTACAATCCTAACAAATCCTTCAGTTTTCTAGGCAATTTCTTTGGCATTAATAGATGTGAATTGTAACTGTTGCCAATCCTATGATAATTTCCTAAAATCTTGTATCCCTTGCCACATTCCTAATCTCAAATTTAATTATTCTCTTGTATTCTCCAATATTTCATATTGAGCTTATTCTTAACATTACAGGATTTCTTCATATTGAGTATATAATTATGCACTCTATTCCAATTATTTTGTCTTTGTATCTATCTCGGTTAACTCCTTGATGGCATCTTCCAATTCTGTGTTTAAAGTCAAAAACTTCTCCTTATTAACTGCCTCACTCACCTCTAAACATTCTCCCTTTAATTTGTCTATACGTTCTTTCAATGTTTTTTTGAATCTCTCAATATTTTTAGCTGTATTATTGTCTGCTTCTGACAATGCCACATTCAAAGAAGACTCTAAATAATTCAATTCTTATGCTAAGTCCTTATCCTCCTTCTTCATTGAAAATAGCTTACAATCTTAAGCTAAAGTGATTATACTGATAGCTGTTTCAATTTCTTCCCTCTTTGAAGGTAATTCTTTAGTTATTCGATCAACGGAGTTCTTCTATTCAATAAATTCTTCAATTCTGATAACCATGCCAGATAATGATTTTATTGATTATTAGAGCCATACCTTCAATATCTAAGATCTATTTCTAAATAATTATAAGTAAAGTTCCTCCAATTATGCCAGCACTTATGATTGTCTAGCACTCAATTACTTCTAAATATTTTATATTTTGACTCTGTACAATCCAATGTCTACCTAAGGTATTAATTTCTATTGTAACAAATTGTCAATCAATTAAGCACTCTTCAAGGTACATGCAAATATCTTTGATTAATACATCAACCTTGGATTTTGTAATTATTTTATTTCACTATTCTCTTGTCTCCAAATCAAATTCAAGTATTCATTGAATTCCTACTAGAAAAGCTCCAATTTTTGGAATGCTTCATCCAATTCCGAAGAAATTTCATGCATGAATACATTGTTCATAGGGTGTTCTTTAATCCAATATGACGGATTCAGATTGATGGAATCAGGCTATGTCCACTTATCTCCAATAATTTCATCCCATTCCTCCAAGGCTTAAACATATTATAAGAAATCAGGATGTTTGCTCCATCTTTCAATTACTTATATCTAATCTAATCCATCACAGAAGGCCTCTTGAATTCGACTAAGGAAATCCCTTTTAGATGGATGCACTTCCAATTGTGTTTCATAAAGGTTTTGAACCTCTCTCTTACATACAAATTCAGGATCTTCAATCACTTCTTCTTATGGTTCCAAAGATTACTATTAATTTGCATTTTGACTGTTCTACTGTTTCTTCTCTACCTTATCGTTTGTGTGTACCTTCTCTTCCTTCAATCTAATGCACTCTTGCAAATCAAAGTCTAACAAATTTTCATTTAAAGTATCCCAAGGAACTTGCTGCCTTTCAATATCAAGACATCCATCTATTGGGCTAAATCTTAATTCAATAGTAAAGATGGGATCATAATCTTAGATGTCTTTTTTCTCCTCGTCATTTTCAGTCAATTTAGGTAGTTTTCTGTTATTTTTACTGCATTATTGAACCTTAATCAATTTATCCACAAATTCTGTTGCTGATTTAATGTAAATTTATCCTAGAGATTAAACAGCAATGAAATCTAATAGATAAGCTAATCTTAAAAACTTAATGAACTCTGTCCTCATCAATGCTCTGTGACCATAATCCATTCTTTCTGGAAATCCAAATGTTTCAATAATTTATTACTTCTTATCAATTTATCTAGATTAAGACATTGTTTTCTCTATTTTCAAAGGCACATGATCATCATCTGATTGTTTCTCTTAATTAATTTGTGTTCTCAATTTATCAATAACAGTTTTAAGTCCTGAAATACAATTTTCTTTCATCTTCCTAGATTGAATTTAGATTTTCTCTACTAATCGATTCCTTTACTTTTATTGTAATACAGTAAACTCATGCAAACTCAAATACTAATCCTTTTTGTCAGTTAATTCTTCCTCTATCTTGTCTATGTCCACAATTCTAAGTGCTTCTATGTCATAACATAAGCTTCTATGTGAAACTATTAATTTTTAATAAATTGGATTCAAAATCAGCATCTTTTCACAAAGTTAAGCTTAAACAATAGAAGTTCGTTGTAAATGCAATATCTTTTGCCATTTCTTGAGAGTCTTCCATTTACGAAACTTCTTAAAAAAACTTAAGGATTTAATTGCATTAAATTAATCTCTTTCTTCTAACCAAGTATTCAATGAAACAAACTCAATTGTTATGTTATTCTCATATCTAGTCAATCCCTTGGCTGAAAGTGTATAGAAATTATTGAGCTAATGCTTTTGAATATATGGATAATTCACTATCCTCATATTGTAAGCATCGTTTGAATGTTTCTTCCTTTTGATCAAATACATGAATTCCTGCTAACTCAATTTGTGCTCCTTGATCATTTGAATAAACGCATCGACATCTTTCAATCCGAAATTGCCATTCTCTTCACTTGAATCTTCTGAACTATCTGAAACCTAAGACATGGAGGTTTTATTTAAAATCTCTTTCCTCAATTATTATGCTCGTATCGTCTTCCTTGGAGCTGTCTTATTATCCCTAGTCATAGTCATGCGAGTATTATCCAAGATGTTACTTGGCAACACTTATACAGTTTTCTAAGCTTCCTTTGGCGGACTTGGAGGTTTTGCTCTTCCAATCATACGATCCATCAACTCATGAACCTGACGAGACTTTAATAACCGTCTCTCATCCTAGAAGATATCACCTGTTAATTCAAAAGTTTTATTCTGCTTTGGAATTGACTCATTGTCTAAATTCAATCTAATCAATATTACTATTCTATGATTTCCCTCGAGTTTGATTTAGACCTACTCCTCCTGATTTTTGATAAGAGAAACTACGTTCTTCGTGAATCGAAGGCAATTTATCGGGAACCTTCTCAATTTTTGTCATTGTCAGATTCATCTACGCTCTGATTGCTATCTTTGCAGTAAGCGGTCTTTCATTCGTTTTACTTTAAGGTGGTTTCCCTCTATCGAAGAGACGACTGGCTAGTTTTGTTTTAGCACTCTCTGGTTACATCCTGAATTAATTTAAAAAATGAAATATATTAAATGCTTGTACTAATATAACCTCATGATCAACCACCACAAATAGTTTCTATTATTCCCCCATGACCAATCATATTCACTAAATTAATTAATACTATCAAATTTAAAGTGATTAAAATTTAAAATAGATCAACAATTCATAATGGGATTATTCAATCGAGGTCTTATATTATTTAATTTAGAGTTCTCAAAAACATAAACTCCACACAGACAAGCAAAACAATCACAATTAAAAAAAATGATTCTTTTCAGAAATAAATCCAATTTTGCTAAACTTCTACATTTTAGGCAATTTTCTACTTCAAATTATTTCGTCTCCATAATTAAATTAAAAAATGTTAAACTTTCAAATTTAATTGACGCAGAAAAGCAAAAAATGAAAATAATCTTTAGAAAAACTTTGATTATATCTTTATTTTAATAATTTCTAACTTTTTTACATTTAGGATAGAATTATATATCTCCTTTTCTATTAGTTTTATGTTTCCATATAAATTTGAAATTTTAAGTATTTATTATTCTTTAATTTAAGTTTACAATTATACTGATATGTAATATATGTTGCAAACCTATTTTTAAATAGCTTATTTTATTAAAGAGTTAGTAATCTTAAAAATCAGCATCTATTTATGGTATTAAAGGTTTATATCAATTATTAATTAGCAAACTTCTATTTCTAATGAACCTTAATATAACAATTATTATTATGAATTGGAACCATTTTCCCTTATAGTATATGTAGTTACGAGCTAATTATCATCTTGAATCAAATTATATTTATAAATATATTATAAAATGTCAACTCATTAATTTTGATTAATTTTACTCACAATATAAATCTAGACTTGATTACCTCATTAAAAATACTCCTTCGTGAAAATATGTTGATTCTTGAGTTGTCTTTATAATACAAAATATAATGAACAAAAATTAATTTCATATTTAGGATATTGGTACAACTAATAATTTTTATTAATCTAGAGGTTGAGTTTATGGAGTGTGTTCTTCAAAATGCTTCAATCTTAAGTGCTATTTTAGAGCTGGTTTTGAGGAGTAAGTATGAGTGCAATTAGTACATTTGAAAGGTTTTGTAATTGAATTTTTTCTTGAGATTCGTTTATTAATTACCTAATAAAATTAAATTACTACAAATATATTAATATAATGAGCAAATAGTAATATATTAACATGTATGTTCTATTATTACCTCATCTTCAGAAATCGTTTTTTTTAGTTTTACAATACTCTTTTGTGTATTTTCAACTTCTTATCTCAGGAACTACTTGAGAAGATGGGATTTTCGAACTTCAAGTTTATAATTGACTTTTGAATCAAATTCTGGCTTTGTAACTAATTCGTATAGTTATTTATACTGTCATTTTCTCCAATCGTTTTTGGAGTAGAGTGATCAATTGATTCTATGAACATTGATATTTAATAAATTTAAACAATAATTTATTTATGTTTTTTTATTAAAGATCATTTAATTAATTTGAATGTGTTTAGTAAATTTGCAAAAATTATTTTTGATCAATTATTTTTTACTATTTCTTTCTAAAGGAAAGTTTAAACGATACTTAATAATATTTGAACGATGTATTTAATTAAATAATCCCCTATTTCATGTTTTAGATAATAATATATCCAATATTGAAACTAAGTAGAAATAATTATATAGAGTTTACCAAATTTCAGATTTTTGTTGAAGAATGACATAAGCCAATAAGGACGAGTAAGTTATTGATAATCGAACTTATAATTGCTCTAAAGATAAAAAATAAATTTACAAATTCTGAAACTTCTTATGATTTAATAATTATTAAAAAACTAATTATAGATAAGCAATGGCATATAAAAAACACTTCAGCAGTCTGCTTATTAATATGACAACTCTTGATAACAATTCCCAGCAAATGGTTATTAATAAAATATTTTAAGCGATAATATCAAATATTTTAGTTTAATTAATTCTTTCCTGAAGGAAATCAAAAATAGTGGTTATATTGAATAATAGTCTTAGCAGATTATATTAAAACATATTAATTCCTTCTTTTCATATCTCTAATCAAGAAGTTTAAGATTTTTATTATTACACTTAATTTAATAATGGAGATTCTTGTCAAAGTCTATACTGAATTATAATTGAGTATTTTTAGTTTAATTGATCCCTATTTTGAGAGGTCATATTTTACATATTCTAAGAGAGAAATCTCTAAAAAAGTTAATATTCTAAAGATAATATTGTCATGCTAATAGTTAACTATTTGTCTAAAGACTGTTTCAAACACTATTATAGCTATTTGAGATTACTTCATAGTAAAAGGAAATATTTGAATATAAAACTCTTGATGATTATTGTTGGAATTTCCAAGTATTTGATACTCCTTTGAGCTCATTAAATTTATAAATAATTTAATATAAATGATAATTAGAAATTTGTCAGAGCTCCTTGGGATTGGTAATTAGTATAGATTCCATATTTAGATTATGTGAAATGTATTGTTAAGAAAAATTTCATTTACATAATCCACAATATATAGGGGTTTGAATTACAAACTTATTTTGATTATTCTTTGAAATTGATTAGTGCTTTTAATAAGGAAAGCATCTTGTACAACATCCATTGAATATAATACTATAATGGTTTCAGCATATTGAATAGTGTGATANTCGTATAGTTATTTATACTGTCATTTTCTCCAATCGTTTTTGGAGTAGAGTGATCAATTGATTCTATGAACATTGATATTTAATAAATTTAAACAATAATTTATTTATGTTTTTTTATTAAAGATCATTTAATTAATTTGAATGTGTTTAGTAAATTTGCAAAAATTATTTTTGATCAATTATTTTTTACTATTTCTTTCTAAAGGAAAGTTTAAACGATACTTAATAATATTTGAACGATGTATTTAATTAAATAATCCCCTATTTCATGTTTTAGATAATAATATATCCAATATTGAAACTAAGTAGAAATAATTATATAGAGTTTACCAAATTTCAGATTTTTGTTGAAGAATGACATAAGCCAATAAGGACGAGTAAGTTATTGATAATCGAACTTATAATTGCTCTAAAGATAAAAAATAAATTTACAAATTCTGAAACTTCTTATGATTTAATAATTATTAAAAAACTAATTATAGATAAGCAATGGCATATAAAAAACACTTCAGCAGTCTGCTTATTAATATGACAACTCTTGATAACAATTCCCAGCAAATGGTTATTAATAAAATATTTTAAGCGATAATATCAAATATTTTAGTTTAATTAATTCTTTCCTGAAGGAAATCAAAAATAGTGGTTATATTGAATAATAGTCTTAGCAGATTATATTAAAACATATTAATTCCTTCTTTTCATATCTCTAATCAAGAAGTTTAAGATTTTTATTATTACACTTAATTTAATAATGGAGATTCTTGTCAAAGTCTATACTGAATTATAATTGAGTATTTTTAGTTTAATTGATCCCTATTTTGAGAGGTCATATTTTACATATTCTAAGAGAGAAATCTCTAAAAAAGTTAATATTCTAAAGATAATATTGTCATGCTAATAGTTAACTATTTGTCTAAAGACTGTTTCAAACACTATTATAGCTATTTGAGATTACTTCATAGTAAAAGGAAATATTTGAATATAAAACTCTTGATGATTATTGTTGGAATTTCCAAGTATTTGATACTCCTTTGAGCTCATTAAATTTATAAATAATTTAATATAAATGATAATTAGAAATTTGTCAGAGCTCCTTGGGATTGGTAATTAGTATAGATTCCATATTTAGATTATGTGAAATGTATTGTTAAGAAAAATTTCATTTACATAATCCACAATATATAGGGGTTTGAATTACAAACTTATTTTGATTATTCTTTGAAATTGATTAGTGCTTTTAATAAGGAAAGCATCTTGTACAACATCCATTGAATATAATACTATAATGGTTTCAGCATATTGAATAGTGTGATAAATATTAAAAATTGATATTGTATTAATTAATTTATTTTGGATGTCTTAAATCTTGAAGAAGGCAGCTAAATACAGAACTGTATCTACAATACTCCAACATGGGGAAGCCCATTTACGTGATCCATATACACTACCACCTGAGATCATTACTCCACCTCCACGTAATTAATGTTAGCATATATAAATTTAGCAAGAAAAGAGAGAAAGCCAGATGATATTACTGATTTCCCAGAGTAAAAATTCGTACTTCTACCCGAATCCATCCCATATCCTGAAGGAAAGTACCGTCCTGCATCAGTCCCTTATGTTGCTGGTTTCTATCCTTATAATTGCTATCTCTAGAAGGGAAAGGTATTTTGAATTAGCTAAATTAAGATTTATCAATGGTGTTCATGCGGTATTTCATAATCGAATCCTTGGTGTGATGGAATGTGCAATGCATCAGCTACAAGAAATAGACCAATTAAATTTAATGTCGATACTTCTGGATATTATAAACTATGTAATTGCAAATAGAGTGCAAATGCTCCCTTCTGTAATGGCACACACAGGTATTAAAGTAGTTGAATTTCAAGATAAGTGATTCGTCAATATCATGCTGGTTATAGAGGATTCTATGAACTTTGGGGATGGGCTGCCTTTATGGGAACAACAGGATTCATCATTTGGAATTTCCATAATTGATAGCAAATATCATTAGAAAAACAATATTATCAAAAATAAAATTTCACTAACTTTATTGCCTTTGAATCGCTCTTTCTCTAACTTTTTTCACCTAATTTATTAATAAATTGCAGAGATTGAACAACAATTATCTAGTAATTTTATATTTGATAGGATATGCCTATCATAAATTTCGCTTTTCTCATGGTCATTCTCGATTACAATAATTGAAAAATCATCCTACCAATACACACATTTTATCTTATCTTTTTATTTCTACTTTTAATAATAGATCTATATAAAGTAATTCCTAATCAAAATAATATATTTGATTAAAGAAAATCTTTCACATTAGTTATTTATTTATACATAATTAATCTACCTACTTCTATGCGAACACACCTGATATCTTTCATTTTATATTCCATTGAATCTTACTTTAAGGTTGTTTCATCGGTTACAGTAATAGAAATAGTAATTTAAATCATTATTAAGAATTTGATCGACAAGAATTGATAGATTTTAATATTAGATTTGATAAAAATAGAATTGAAAAAAAAAGTGATATTAATTCTTTAAAATTGAAAATGTCAGATCATTTTAAAGATTAAAAATGCTTCTTAGTTCTCTTTTGGTATTCAATCATTAAAAACTTATTTATTACTATCATTACGAATAGATTTTCTTATATCATATTGAAGATTTACTATATATTAATTTTACTTTTAGCACTTAAATCCAAGTATAAGATTTCACATCCTTGATAGTGCTGTATCAATATTTTTAATAATAACAAATTTCATTTTATTAATATAATATTCATTATTTTATCAATTATTTTTTCTACCTTTTGTAATGCTATTTTAGGTTAGTTTTCGAGTAAAAGCTCGAAATGCATTATATGCTCATTAAGGTAACTAAACTAAAATACATCATTTATTTGATGGCAAGTTTTCCAATTTATACAAGTAACTTAAACTTCATTGTATAGTAATGAGATTATAAAAATGTATGGTTTTTTGAAGGTCTTGATTTATAATCTGATTGGTTTTTATATTTTATTAGATTATTTCAGAGTTTTTAATTAGTTTAAATTTGGAATTGTATGATATTGACTTAAATTTAAAAAGTTTTGCGTTTTAATTTTATGTATCATATAATAGCATATACTGATAATATCTGAATGATTGAGTTTAGAATTCATATAGTTAGTTTGATATTTATAAAAGCCATCTGCTATATACAAATTGAGTAATTCCCTTAAATTGATTTGCTCTTTGACTTCTGTAAATTTATTATATGAGAAATACTTCAATTCAATATTGAAATTGGATGTATTAGCATAGCTGATGGCATCAAAAGGGAAGAATATACATGTACGTTTTAAGAATTTAATCTATTCTTCATTCAATTTCGCTTCGCTTATAATACCAGGGAATTTGTTATTATGTAAGTTTAATTGATTAATTTTCCCTTTAAGAAGTGCAATGCCCTTGAGTTGATCAGCTTTTTATGAATACTTCATGTAAAATTCAATGTGAGATTCACCAACTCTTTCAATTCTAATGTAACGTTAAAACAGTAGTTCCTAGAGATTGATCTCCTTCTGATCAAATAAGAGGGACAAGAAGCAATTTTATTACTTGGGATGCTATTCTAATGAAAAATTGTTGTTGATAATATTGACCCAAATTAATTTTTCCTTAACAATGTACTATTCCTTGTTTCCATTATCTAAATGATATTCTGTAAAATCAGTAACTAATTTAGTAAGACAGAGGAACTCATTGAGATAGCAAGATGTGGTTGGAGATTGCCCAATCTGATTTTATAACTAGATACTTGAGACAGCTGGAGAATGAGACTATGATATTTTGTATTAGCTCCATCGATGGTTTTGCTTTTACAGTTTAACACTTTGTCTGGGTGTGAAATCTGAAAAAGAATCTAGATCTTTAAAACTCATGATGGCTTGCTTCTTGTATATGATGAGACTATCCATCAAATCCTTGCCTTCATTCTCTTTGAAATCTTCTGATCTCAACAAACCTAACATTTATCTAGTTGTTTTGGGAACATAAATCTTGACAATCCAAATGTCCAGTAATAAGTGTCTGAAAATTTAGATTATAACATAATCTGTCATCTATTATTGATCATTTAACAATTAAGTAACCTTATTGTTTGATATTTTAATCAATTAACCAGTTGATATTGAATGTATCAAGTAGGACTTCTTGATGTGAGTAATAATTAATCTACTGTTTTTTATATAGTGTTCTAAGAAACCTTTGCAGAGATCAGATTTCTTGAAAGTTGTATTTTCAGGGAAATTTCCGATTCTTCTGATTTATTGAACTGTCATTTTAGTTGAATGATCCTCATATGAATTATGTGTTATTTAACTTTCATTCTATCTTTGATCATCCTGATTAACTGCAAAGAATGGAACCTAACTTAATGTGAATGTTCCTAAGTGACATTTCTGGAATATGTTCATGGCAGTTTAAACAATATTTGCATCGGTCATATTCTATGGTATCTCTATCTTCAACATCTCAGTGATGTCGTATTTATTAAAGATCATTTTCATCATTCCTGTCTTTAACATGATGTTTTAGAAGTCTATTCTCATTAAAAAGTAATCATTCTCAGCCAAAATGTCTGGTTTTTGACATCTAAAGAACACCTTAATAGTTATCTAATATTTTCCATAATTTTTAATCTTCTGAACTATAACAAATTATTTAAGAGTAAAATATTTTAGCAGTACAATATAGTTGTTTAATATATAGTAATGCAATACATTATATGAAGGTATCTCAGCTAATTAGCTTTTTGATTTTTTATATTTCAATAATTCAAATCCATCAGATAATTATGAGCTAATGAAAGATTGCTTTAAGGCTCTTTGGCTTACTTTCTTGTAAAGCATTTGAAGTATCCAACAAGTAGGGCCATTTTGTATAAGTTACACTATGTTAGATATAATGTTGTCTTCATCATCAGTAGGGGTGATTTGTAATCTTTACAATCGTTAATTGCAATGGTAAATCAATATTATTTATTTGTGAACCATGGATATTTGAATGGCAAGATGTTTTAATTTGATTCTATACTTTTAAATTTAGCTGAGTTTTAAGTTTTTCCTACTATAAAATTGAGATTCCAACTTTTCCAAATCATCAATATGCACATCAGTAAATGGATTTTCTTAATAAATTACTATGGGACCAACCTTCTTTGTGTCTATTTCCTGTTTTGCTTCAGTGTTAATATTTGATTAGTATCGTTTGACCAAGTCAATTAGAGTAGTTTGATGGAAATGTTGTTATTCATTATTCGTAATATCCTCTCCAAATATTTATGCAAAATGCTTATCGAACAGATGTTCTCTATTGTGGATAGTCTATGATTTGGATTGATAATCTAATTTCTTTTAGGTGTCATCATAGATGTATCGTTCAATTTCAGTAATGGCAAATGGTTTTACCTTAGTCTGCAAATCAATGAGGAAACCTAATTTCATTCCACAAGCCTCCATTTTTTATGCATCATGCAAGGAAAAGATGTTCATTCTAACCTATAACTACTTTTATTCATTAATCATCAATTTTTGATCTATAAATTCATAGAACATATTCAGACATTTCCTTTAAGAGAACAATATTTAATTTATGATCTATTTTAGATTATTGTGATATCTCTTCTCTAAGATCTTTTCAATGGCATCAAATTACAATCTGAGTGGTTTGATCTTTAATGGACTATTGATTGCCTCAAATAGTACATCCACTTAATACTTTGTATGGTAATCATTTTTCTTATAATACAGGATACTAATTCATTATAATATACTATTACTTTTCTTTCTAAAATATAATACTGACTTTAATTATGAAAAATATGTTGTCTTCATCATTAGTTATGCTCAAATTTCTAAGACTTACCAATTGCTTGTGTATCATATATTGTTATTCCTTTTATTTGTTGATCTTAAAGTTGAGTATCCTATTCAGAAGTATAATATTATTCTTTATACACTCTATGAATTATACAAAAATAATATAATACCTCCGTAGCTACAAACTAGTAAGTGGAAATTCTCCTTCTCGTCAGAAAGAGTTGACTGTATTATCATTCTTCTGTAAAGATTTAAAACATTAATCAATTCTCTATACGCATTCAGAGTTTTGTCCTTCTCTACTGTGTACAATTTTAACCTAATCCCTGTGATATTGATTTATTCATATAAATAAGTTGTATACATCCATCTAAATAAATCTTTCAAAATTCCCATTTGTTCTATTTCATTCTTAGCGAGTTCAAATTGGTAGTCTGGAAACTTGATAAAGTTATAATTATCGCTTTTCTTATCACTCATTATTGAGTTATAGCTTAAATAAGGTAGACACTGAGATGTTTATAATTGATATTCGTTCACAAAGGCTTCAATGATTTGAGCCCAATTCTTAGTATTTCCAATTTGTATGTTTTACAGCTTTGCCCTGTATACAATTTTATTATTTGTTGTATCCTAGAATCCAATAAGAATGTTCTCAGATGATGTTACTTACAAACCACATTGCCATAGAATTGTCCTACTGTGATAGCACAATGAGAATTGGAATTTTGGAATGTAAGCGTTGGATTACTCCATGAAAAAAGTAGTCGCAGTCCTTAATGTTAATAGATTCCTTCTCTAAGGCCTTTTGACATTGATTGATGGATTTTGCTATTGCGATGGTTATGCCTGCTATTAAACTGATTATGGTATTGCAATTATTATCTATGATTTGGCAGGAACACTCTCAACAAGACTAGACTTTTAGATGGCTTAACTAATTTGTGATGCTGCATCAGGTGAGCTAACTACCATACCACTTCTTCTTCTTTCCGAAGTTTATGGATCCTGCTCTTTACAGGGTTGTATTTATTGAATTTCAGGAATTGAGAGTTGTTACTATGGTTCTTTTTGAAATTCCTTGTGCTCTTTCTTTATTGAAATTGTTTTTTATCTTCTGATAGATTTACCTAGATCAGCATTCCTGGGAGTTGAAGATGCACTAAGTTGGGCTATGTCCAGGATCTATTGAAATCTAGAACCAATCAAATTCTTTAATTTATAGGGGTTGCTTAGATTATTCAGTTTATCAATTTTTCCTTGAGATGATTAAGAATGGGTGATGCTATGTTCTTTGCCTGAAATCCTTTAGTCTGACTCAGTGGCTGGTTTGACTGGGGATGGCAATTCTAGTATTGAGTCTTGATGATCCTGCTCAAAGTCTTAGAAAGTAAGCAAAGGCAGTTCTTCTTAAGCGGTAGGCAAGGTTTTGTATCTTTCTATGATATTAACAAAAGTATACAAGTGCAGGTAGACAAGGTCACAGGTTTTTGAATTTTAAAGCACCCTTTTCTTACAATCTTATTAATGTGATAATTTTCAATTTGAATTTAGAAGATTGGATCTTCTTCAATATGTTTATATTGAGAATTAAGAAGTTTGGAGGTGGAAGTCTTAATTATTCTTTTACTCGTCGCCGATGTTTGAGTTTGTTCTGTTTTAACTATCTTACCTAAATCCAAATATCTGTTGGTAGTTTTGGAAGATTCCTTTTGGAATTCTTCAGGCATCAAATTATTAATTTATAAGATTGGTTTTTTTCCCTTGTTTTTGAGCCTTGTGTCTTCATTTACTCTGGAAATTGAAGTGATGGAAAATTTCACTTTCTGTAACATTTATAATTCTTTAACGATATCACTCTAAAAATTGCAGTCATTGAAATAGAATTAAGCCTATTATAACAATTACTCCAAGATGAGAGCATTGGTATCATTCTTACTGACTTTGATAATTTTGTTCCAATAGGAGGAGAACAATTAAACATCCATTTTAAATAATAAATGGTGGTAATTAGCTCCGCTCTTAAGCGATTTCTCGATTAACTTAGCTATTTATTCGAAGACTCTTTCCACATTACCTATTTGCTTACTAATTTTTGCATAGGCTATGTAACCGATAATAATTCGAATTAGAAAATGCAATTGGTTGGTCTTCCAAATGAGGGTGTTGATTAATTTGCGAAATTCAATCTTGAGATTCTAATCGTCTCTTAGCAATTTGTGTTTGAGTATTAGATATTGATTCAACATGGAACAAGTTTGAAATTCGATTAAACCTTCGTAGAAAATATGGTATTTGATTAGTAAGTCCTCATATGCTTGTTAGATGTATTTATGAATAGGTTTGGCATAAGTCAATTGGGATGCCACAAAGTAGGGTAATAGTTTTAGTTTTAATTTGTCCCAATCTTTGCAGCCTTCAATTTTCTTGATTTTCTGAACCTCATTAGCACTATCGCAATTCACCAACTAGAAATGTAATCATTTGGGCAATACTTAATCAATTAGAGTCTAATTTAGGGATCTGATTCCTAGATATTCTTAAACTACGCTGTTATTAATTTGAAATAGAGATTATAGTTTTTAAATGCCTTTAATGGACATCGAATTAACTTTCAATAAAATTTTATTTTGTTTTAAATGAGTTATCTCTATTCACCATACAGATCCTATGCCAGACCATATTAGTATTCACCCACCCGTTCATATGTCTCCTCCCCATATTACACATCCACTCCACCAAGAGGTAAACTCCTTTGCTAAACAAATAAGGCAATTCTTGGGTAGAAAGAATCCCTGTTGAATAGAGATATACAGAGTATGTTCCAGAACAAAGAATCGAGTACAAGCCAGTCGAGAGAAGATACACAGACTATGTAGAGAGTAAGAAATCATTGAAATTATTAAGTCGAACATTACAGAGATTATGTCCCAGTCCCAAGACTTGAAAGAAGAGTCGAATACGTGCCAATTGAGAGATATGACGAAGCAGTTGACTATGTTCCAGTCGAGAGATCCAGTGTTGTTCGCTAGCCATTGTCAAATTCATTAGCCTACAGTAGATATTCCAGGTATCCATCCAGATATTATTATTGATTATTATAATCAAATTAATTACACATTCATTGTGAAGTAAAGAAGTCTTGGATTGCAATTGTGCAATATTTACTAGTTGTAATGGAAAATTAATAATTCGTCTAGAAGAACCAATCTAATTTCAATAATCTGCTGCTTGAATGCTGAACAGACATTGAGATCGAAAAGAATGGCAATGGTTCTTCTGCTCTGATGTTTTAATCAAGTTTAAATGAGTAAACATTTTAAATATTATCACAATACATAGTTAAACTATTATTTGCATGCATGTGTGATTTATTCTTCAATCCACATGTGTATTGAAACTTGGACTCTTTAAAATTTACATAAAAACTTTATGATAACCTTTAATTTAATAATTAAATGAAAAAAAACAATTAATCTACGATTACAGATATTCATTTTGAGAAACTCTAACGACCAGATTTGTTGTATACGAGAAATCAACAAACCAGTCAACAATGCATACAATTATTATTGAAGGATCCAAGCATACGGCTAGAATAAGAGAGTGAGAAGTTAGGTTAATTGTTGAGAGGACACGAATTCTTTAGAACCTCTGACAATGAATTTCTTATAGAGTGTTGTCAAGTAAGTCTTTTCATCATCTGATAGTTGATGAGATTTGAATAGTTCCAAAAAAATTAAGTGATATTCTCAAAAAATTAATTGGATTAAAATAAACTGATAATCATTTTGTCAGGAGATGTAGTTTTGAACAAGGGAAACCAAGAGATGATTCATCTCAAACACTTTGGATCGAATCTCCTTATTTTTGGGAGTGAGTGCTATTCTGACATGTATACATTCATGATTTTAGATCAGATTGGAATGTTACATCTAAAACTGCCTGCAAAGTTGCAGCAATTTCAAAGCATGATTTTAGAGTCAATCTAATGACTTTTGAAGTTAGTCGCATAACTAAGGAGATCTCCCAACTGTATGCCTTCCCAATCTTCAAGAATGTCCCTTACGCCTAAGTGCGTAAGTTCTATGCCAATTCCATGTCTCAGATTTTCCAATGCCTTGATATCGTTTACTTACAGGAACAAATGATCAAACAAATTTATTTGGTTATAAAAGGGATTTTCGAATTAAGGGAACTCGAAAAAGGAGTTGCAAAAGCAGTTCATATCTTCACCTAAGGACAATTGATTGGAGAAAATGAATTGAATAATAAAGCCTCCTTTTCTAATGGTACTGCCTTCTGCATAAGTGAGGAAGGTCAATTGCTAATCTTTGATTATGAGTATTTCAAGGACAAAGTATTGCCTTCCATTGAGGACAATCTGCCAAATAAGCTTAAGACTCAAGTGTCAAAGAACGAGAAATTCTTCAACAACAAGATATCCTTGACTGGAGAGATCATGATCAAAAAACCTCTTTCAAGACATTATAATTTTAGGAAGAGTCATGAAGATCTTGATCAATAATAGAGACAGTCGATTGCGCAAAAGAACAAAATACGATCAACTCATTCAATCAATTCAATCCATCAATCCCAATCGAACAATTCAGAAGAACTGAATGAATCGCAAATTAATAATCTTAATTGTATTGCCAACCCTGGGTAGGTTGCACAGTCTATTAAATAAAATCGATTTAGGAGAAATACTCAGAAATCTATCCATTTTTCTAACGAATAGATTAGGTCATAGATCATGAACAGTCCTGTTCGTTCAACTGTGAATAAGTCAAGTTCCTAGTAGTTCAGTCTATAGAGATTGAAGGAAGATGTTAGTATTAAAAAGTCGCAACAATAAATGAATTTGAGGATGCCTTTGAAGAATGAATTGCTCAATAAATTTTTGAATAGAAAGGAGGAATATGGAGACTTAGTAACTAAAAATAGAATGAGAAGAACTCTCTCTTAAACATCAAATGTGAAAAAAACTGTATAAATAAACAAATGAGATATAAATTAATTTAAAATTAAAAAAAATGGTCTCGGAGGGGATCGAACCCTCGACCGTCAGCTTATTAGACTGACGCTCTAACCAACTGAGCTACGAGACCTGTGTTGACAATGTTATATATAATTTTAATAAATATATGTAGGTAAAAATAACAATCTTTATTTATAGATGGAATTGGAAGGCAACACAAAATACAATGAGTATGAAGAGAAAATTAGGAATCATTAAACCAATGGTCATAATTACGAATTAGATAAATTGCACCAGAAGAAAGAATCAGACGATTAATTCTTGATTGCTTAAAACCCGCTCATAATGAGGAATCTCTTAATCATCATAGACACAACCAAGTCATCCAAAGTGAGTGATTTTAAACCAAGTCGTTTGGCAGTGGCCTTGCAATTTTTGCCTGTAAAAAAACACATAATAATTCATAATTAGGCATTTATAGAATAATTTCTTGAAGGCAATCCTTTATCTCAAATCGGCATAGCAGTAGCTGAAGAATATAAATGCAAGACAATTTTAGATTTTACTTCGTCTTGTGTAAACATAAAATAATATTTGTCAACAATCCATTCAATAAATGAAGCCGGATTTTCAATGGCAGCCTGTTTATAAGTATCATGAAAAAGAAAATACTTTAGACTGCTTTACATGTTTTTTCATCTACCTAACTGCATGCCTAATCAAGTATTTTATTTGTGACTACATCCACATACTCAGATGATAAACTTGATTTAAATGAATGGAGTGAGAAGTGCCAATCAGCAGCTATTCAAATCAATATGATATCATTTGCAGGAGCCATACATCAATTAATTAAGATAACATAAGCAACAGATGGGTAATATTTGTGTCCCATTAACGAATTTCAGTTTAGCTAAGAAATTTAGGTAATAAATTGGTTCATCTATAAGAAATTCATTTCCCCTCAAGAAACGAAGAATCATAAAATGATTACACAATTGGTAAAGATTGGATTCCCATAGAAATTTATCGTTAGTCAACCTACTTTGTGTTAATGTCATTTAGAAATAGTGTAATTTTTAGTGTTAATAATGATAGATACAACTTTTATAAATGTCCAGTGTGTTATAGCAAGGTTTGTTCTCCTCCTCTTTTATGTCCAATCTGTTCGACTTGGATAGTTCTGCCTCACTAGATCCTCAGAAGTGATGGTTACAATACTTTAGGAGTATTTGTAATTATAAATGATGGTTTGGATCATCAATGTCAGGGATGTTTAGAATCAACTAGTGTAATTCATTCGACTTGTGAAAGATGCAAGAACTTCTTCTGTTTGTAATTTTTAAGTCTGATTTTAGGGATTGTGATATTCTAATCCATTCTAAATTCAAGGTATGTCCAGGCTGTGCGTGATTGTGTTGAAGCTAAATAAATTTAAATAATTAAATAATCTTAAATATTATGGGTGTATTTTAATGAATTGTTGATACATACAATTAAATTTTAATAAAATGTTAACCAACTATACCTATTTTAGAATGCCAACCTATGAAAATAGGTAACCTTACATTCTTAGCACGAAAAACAACAATAATAGATCTGTACCATTGCCTCCAACTCCTAGGAGAGAATATTCGCAAATCTCAAGCAGGTTTCAAAAAATCAAATTTTTGGGCAAAGGCAAATACAGCGATGTTTATATGGCAGTGTAATAATTATTAAGGAATTTTATAGTGACAGGGCAACCAATTGTATTTTTGCAATCAAAATAATAAAGAAGTCAATCATTAATTAATTTAATCTCTCGAAATTGTTAACTTAGGAGATAAAAATAGTATCATCAATGAGTCATCCTAACATTATGAAATTTTATGGAGTAATTAGCGATGACAAGGAAGTGGCTATTATCTTGGAATGTTGTGAATCTTCATTATACAAACTTTATGATAAATTAGATTAAATAAACGAAGAGTAGAAATTATAAATAATTTTTGAAATACTTTAAGCATTTTCGTATTTGCACGATAAAAGTATTCTTCATAGAGATGTGAAGCCTGAAAACATCATGATGATCTAGAATCACATAAAAGTGGGAGACTTCGGCTTGGCAATCAGGTTGAAAACCAAAGAAAAGATGAAATCCATTTGTGGAACTCCTTAATACATGGCACCAGAAGTATTCAAAGGACTAGAATACGATATCAAAGCTGATTGCTACAGTTTAGGGGTGATCATAGAGGAATTGAGATGTAAAAGTAGTGAGATCAGAAACATGGTTCACATTTTTAAATAAAATGATTACAATTTAAGGGGAAATGTCAAGGATTTCTTGTAATTAAAAATATTTTCGAAAGTGAAATAAATTCTTTCATAAACTATGTTTAAATGATTTAATTTAGTTAATTTAGTTAATATAATTATTGATGTTTGCTACAGTCGATCCACTAACTGGAGGTTTGATTTGGGAAGTATAAGGTGAGAAGGAGAAAGAGCAAAAGGAGAAAACTAAGGTGAAATATATAGAAATAAAGGATGTGAATACATAATTCAATCCTAGACCTAGTAGGTATTCATGATTGTTAGTAAAAGATTATCATTGGAGGAGAAAATCAAATTATTAGAGCCCATTGGAGAAGAATTGATTAGCAAAGATGAATTAATAAATCTATTGAAAACAAAAACATTTCCAATTTGCTATGATGGATTTGAACCAAGTGGAAGAATGCACATTGCACAAGGATTACTTAGAGCACTAAATGTGAATAGATTGGTCGATGCAGGATGTATATTCATCTTTTGGGTTGCTGATTGGTTTGCCTTACTTAATAACAAGATGGGAGGAGATCTGAATAAAATAAAGAATGTTGGTCGCTACTTCATTGAGGTTTGGAAGGCAGCAGGGATGAAAATGCATAACGTGTATAATAGAGAAAATAACATAATAGGAAATTCCTTTGGGCTTCAGATGAAATCAACAAGAGACCAAATGATTATTGGTTAAGAGTGTTGGATTTAGCTCGTAAATTTAATGTTTCAAGAATTAAGAGATGCGGATAAATTATGGGTAGAAATGACGACGAGTAAGATGACAAGATGGCTGTTGCTTAATTATTTTATCCATGTATGCAATGCAATGACATCTTCTTCTTGGAGGCTGACATTTGTCAATTGGGTATGGATTAAAGGTAATAATTCTATTAAATTCCTTCTTTAGAAAAGTCAACATGTTAGCAAGAGAATATGCTGATAGATCAACAGATGCTTATAAACCAATTATTATGTCACATCACATGATGATGGGTTTACTTGAAGGTCAAACAAAGATGTCGAAATCTGACTTAAATTCAGCCATCTTTATGGAAGATTCAGCAGAAGATGTTAAGAAAAAGATAAAGAATGCTTATTGTCCACCTTAAATTACTAAGGATAATCCTGTGTTGGATTACACCAAGGAAATCATATTTGGATGGAGAAATAAACTCTAAATTTTAAGAAAGCCTGAAAATGGCGGAGACAAGGAATATACATCCTATGCTGAATTGGAAGCAGATTTTATCTCAGGAGCTCTTCATCCAGGTGATTTGAAACCAGCAGTCACCTTAGTTCTCAACGAGTTAATCTAACCAGTTAGAGATCACTTCGCCAAGGACCCAGAAGCAAGAGCTTTGTTATAAGAGATTAGATCATATCAAGTGACAAAATGAATATTAAGTATTAAACATAAAGGGAAATGTACAATGATCATTTTTTAGACATCATCATCACACTCTTATATGTACTCTAACTACTGCATCCTTTGGTTTTAAATTATCCATCAAATGCTAAGATGTCCATCTATTCTCTCTACTCTAAATCCTTTTTCATGTTTTGATACTTCTATAACAACCTTTATAGTGTGATTATATCCAAATACCTCTCCAGATCAATGCTTCTATTCTTCCTTAACTCATCTTGTCCAGCCTTTATTCTTTGCTGCAACGCATTCAACTCATTCATATGTCTCTACTCCAATTATTACAATTAAGTTTTTATCTTCAAACTTCTCTAGGCTGAATATACTTTAAGCTCTTCCTCTTCCAGTTAAGCACGCTTATTCTGTATAGCATGTGCCTCCACATAACTAGAATTTTTATGCAATATTTACTTCTTCTGTTTAGCCAGATGCTCCTCAATTTTCTTTAGATTTAACACTTCAGATGATTCCTTCGGCTTGTAAGGAGTCGATCGTTCTAGTTCCTCTTGTGATTGCTTGTATTCATTCTACTAACGATTTTGCAGTTCCAATTCTACCTGCTTGGCCTCCTCATTAAAATTTAACATCTTGTTATCCCAAAACTAATTGAATTAATTGTATTCTTCCATATGTGCTCTCTCAGCCTAATCCTTTTGATTTTACCAGTTTATTATTAATTCTTTCTTTTTTTTTGTTATAAGTTACTTCCTCAACTCAATAATTCTCTTCCTGGCATCTTCTGCCTCCATGTACTTCCCTTGCTTTTCGCAAGCATTTTAATGTTAAGTTAAAGTATTTATGTAATCATCGACATCTTGAGCCGTTTGAAGATTCGGTTCATTCTTCATAGGATCCAAAAAAGCAACGTTAGCCATTTTTAATATAATTTTTATTTAATTCTCAATACTAGGTTATATGTAATTTAAACATAATTCCTAATTTCATAATTGCATTCGCAAACATCTATCACTACTTATACCATTCCTATGAGACATGAGATCATAGGATTAAATTTATTATTTTATAATTTAATCAAACTTTTTAATTGAGATTGTAACGATAATATTGTTATGAATTCTTTAATTTAATAGCATCGATCCTCATCAAGCAGACATCGCACCTTTTTGAATATCACTACCTCTCAACAACTCAGAGTGCAATCTCCACTCGCTTAAATGGAAAATAGTTAAATCAATTAAAAAGATCTCATCCACAAATTAGTTTAAACTCTAAGGTTATAACCAACCCAAAGGAACAAGGAAAATAAGAATAGACAACAAAAAGCAAGGTCCCAATTGAATTCTGGTTAAAAATAAAGAGTCCTTGAAGATAGACTCTATAAATTAGAAACTGCCAATTCTCCAACTTTAGGTTCCTAAAACCGAAGATTATTTAACCAAACATTACCACTTGTAGCCTAACCCAGATATAAGAACTTTAAGATTTTGTAATTTTTGGGCAAAGGACGCTATAGTAATGTCCACTTAGCAATTGATGAGAACACTAATTATCATGTGGCCTTAAAAATTATGAAGAAGACCTAGATTCAATCAATGTCCTAATCAATTGCACAAGAAATTAAAATATAGTATTTACTCAACCATCCAAATATAGTTAAACTATATACTTTTTTTCAAAATGGTATTACATTGCTAATAATATTTAGCTGATGAAATTGTTTTAGTCTTGGAATATTGTCCCAATGGCTAAATACATAAAATACTCAAGGGTTTGCCTGAATGTTGCTTCCCAGAAAAGTTGGCATCATCCTACATTCGATAAATCCTGAGTGCTTTGATTTATCTACACAGAAATGGCATCATCCACAGAGACCTAAAACCAGAGAATATATTCTTATGCTATGTAGACTTCCTATTATAAATTTAGAATCAAATCAAGATTGCCGATTTCACGTATTCTGTGTATTCACCTGAAGATCAAAGACAAACTCAATGTGGATCTCTGGCCTACTTGTCTCCTGAGATAATTCGGGGCGAGAATTACGATAAGAGTACTGACATGTGGTCCCTTGGAGTATTAGCTTACGAGTTATGCTGTGGTGAAACGCCCTGGGAAGACTTAAGGCAGGATGAGATGCAACAAATGATATAGGATGGCATAATCAATATGCCTGATTCATTTTCTTGTGAATTAAAGGACTTTATTACCAAATTAGTTACATCTGATTCGAAAAGCAGGATGACAGCAAAACAAGCGATGACTCATCCTTGGATTTAACAATAGGAAGAATAGTTAACATAATATGAATTCAAAATTTGAATCAATTATATATACATGTTTCAATATACTAAATTATTTCAGTGCATTCATTTATTAGAATTAATAAATTATTAAACAAAATGGAATTAAATAATATAATAGAGATAATAGCTGATTCAGGAAACAGAGGGAAGGAATTAATGATGGACTCATTTATTGTTGGAGTTGCATGGGGCAGAAAGTAATTATTCTCATTTATTTAGATTAATTAATACAATTCAAGAAATTCAATAGGCTACAAATTACTTATACCAATTAAACCAAGAGGTTGAACTCTCTTAAAAAACTGCATTCTACAAACTTGACTTATTCCAAAAGTTTCTGCTAGAGGATGTAATTAGTTCATTTAAAAATTAGAATTGCTAATTATTTCCACAAGTTGAAGCAAAATTTTAATAATTGCCTCAAGAAGAGATCAAATAAGAACCTAAAGTAAATAACAACAATCGGGTAACTATTTATAAATAAGGATAGAATGAGTCATTGTGCGGAATCTGTAATTTCCAAATTAATGATCTGCCTGATGAAAAATTCAAAATCCCTTATTGCGGACACGAATTTCACAATCTTTGTCTTTACTAAGAAATTGATTAGAAAGATTAAGCAAAATGCAGCACTTGTTCAATTTAATTAGATCCGACAGTAAAAAAAGATTTATTAAAATTAATTTCTCCTTCGTTTAGGTCTTGTTGTCCTTTTATCAATTGTCAGCAAGAATTCATATATTATGGATAATCTACATTTACTTGTTAAAACTGTAATATACCGTTTTGTTTGAAATGTAAATAGATTGAACATAATAATTAATGTAACTTAGGAATAGACTATATCGAAATGAGATAAGGATAGAGATTCAAGCTTTGTTTTGACTGTCAAGAAATAATAATATTAAATTTTTAAGATTTGAGTTCTCATTAATGCAAGACACAAAAAGAAAATCAAAATACTAAACACCATGGAATTTTTAACAAAATTGCAAGATTCTTAAAAAAAGATTAGAAATATTGATTATATACATATGCTTTGTAGTCACAAAATCTTATTATTAATATTTTGAAGGAAATAAAATTATGGTTATTGATTTGCATTAACTTAACTTATGTGTATTTAATTTCATCTGATTCTGTTGTAAAAGATAACTTGGTGTGTTTAAATATTAATGAAATCTTGTTAAATTAAATCTATGTTCTATGGTGAGTTGTTAATTTTACTACCTCTTATTATTATTTTCTAAGATATGATATCTCTTTATTCTTCATTATCTACTTTAAAGGTCAATTAATCAACATAAATAATTTAAATAACCCAAATTTTTATTTTACTTTAAATCCTTTTGTTTTCCTTTTCTTTCTAAATTTATTTAATATCAAATAATTTCAAATTTCTCTTGAAATTAATCCTTATTTTTAATTAAAATTTTCGATTCTCAAAATCATTAAGAATTTTATCATAATTTTAATGCTATTTCAGTTTTATTTTTTGTTGAATATATTGAATATTTTGCTTTAGACTTTATTCTTGAGGATTTCCCTTCATCAGTACAGTAAATAAAAGGAATTTAAAATAGTTAAGGTTTTACAATGTCGAAATCTATGAAATCTAATATTGTTTAATATCTTATCTATTTACATATAATTATAATTGCATAGTTAATAAAATTTTAAACAGCTCTCTTTGTTATTAATAATTTATATGTTCTAGTGTATATATTCTTTAATTTGGAAAGGTATTACATTGCGATTGAGAGAAAAGTAACAATAAAATAAAATAGTTAATTTGATTGTAATTAGAATTTTGAAGGATAGTTGTGTGTTTGAATAATAAATAGTTTTGAATTTTTATAATAATGGAGTGATAATTGGGTTTTTTTATATGAAATTAAATATTTAATTTATAATAAAGTATTTTTATGAATAATTTAAAGAATTACGACGATAATTCACTACTGTAAACAGTGAGTAATTTTGTAAAGAACTTTATTTTTGGATTCTTGTACATTTTATAAAAGGAATCGAAAATCAATGCATTATTTTTGGCGATTTTAAATTTGATTTAATACATATAATTGCATAGTTATATGTTTAGAGAGGAAATAGGTTATGTTTGGTAGAATGATGGGATTTCAAATGCCATTAACATCTTCATAGAGCGTCTGCTTTTCAAAGTTTACTTTACGAGCCTGCAAAGTTATGTAATATTTTTATTCATTCAAACAGGATTGTTCATTTCATTAATATCTATAATAATATACTTTGGATATCAATATCACACAAGTTCATACATCAATCGAACAGCATCATCAATTTTGAGGGTGGTCTTATTATTATTAATAACAGTCTTGTTTATGCCAATAATAAATTACAATACATCTGCATGGAAATGTGTAGATGATGCAAATGGAGTAAGCAAGTTTTATGATTTGCAATGCTTTACAGCAACACACATAGGATATTGCATAGCAGCATTCCTAAACCTAATGTTGTATATCACATTGTCGATGACAATAATCTTCACCTATTTTGAATGTCGATTTAGAGCAAATGATCAAACAGCTAAAATAAATGGCAGAGCAGATGCCATAATGTAGAGTTATGTTATAGTGTAGGAGGTAGCATTCTCAATAATGCATAACCGAAACTTCGCATACATTTTATTAGTGATTACCCTGGGAGGCAGTTTAATTATATTTCTTGCATTTTCCCTTGGCACTCAATATCATAGTTTTCTATTTACAAGGTATCACTCTACACTGTCTTCATTGCTGATGTGGAGTGCCTTTATGTTGGCAGTAGCAACGGCAATGGAAGGCAATTTGATAGGTGGTTCTATAGTTGCGTGGTTGGTTGGAATACCATTTGTTATAAGCATTGTCTTGACTCAAAGAGACAGGCAATTGGAGAGTTTAGTGGCAAATGTGAATAAATTGAATAGTCCTGAAGAGATCATATCCCAGGTCAGATACATATTGACACTGCTCAGATTGTAGAATGAAACCAAATATGCAGTTATTTTAGACGGATACATAGAGGTGCATAGGTAAACTTGCGAAAAATCAGATTGTCCTCTAAAGAAATATAAACCAGGGTGGAATAAGAGATTGATTCAATAAATTAAATAGAATAATTCTGAAGTCAAAAATGACAAGCAAGCTCTTTTGATCTTAACTCTCTATAGAATTCTGGATTAAGGGTTGGAGAAATTTGAGAAGAATGTCGACTTAAGAATTCAGTATGCTTTCTTCTTATTGGAAGTCATGTCGTATAAGCATAAAGCATTATAGGAGTTACAAAAGGCTGAGGAATGTGAACCAAGTTTGGATACTCAGTTCGTTTTGTACAAATATAAAAGAATAGTTGAAAGTGAAATATAAGATGATTAAAATGAAAAGACTATTTCGAATCATGAAATCTTGCCAATCTCAGCTGCTCCACCTATTATTAGTGGGCTAGCCATGCAAATTGAGAAATGTGCTTATTTGCATATGGAATACTGGTCAGAATTAAATGAAGAAACTCCAGATGTTGCTAAATTGGAAGTAAGTGGCAAGAAAGTTACAGACAGTATTAGAATGGTACAAGAATTATGGCAAAAGTTGAAAAGAGTATGTCCAAATCATTAGCCTAGTATCATGTTGTACTCAGCGTTTTTGATTGAAATACTGAATGATAAAGAATATGGAATTAGTTTGAATGACACTTTGCGTAAGATGATACAAGGATATAATAATAGTAAAATTGATGATATTGACAATCATGATTTCAGTAATGATCCAACTCCTACTATTGTGTTATCAAGTGACAATGAGAAATTTGGATTAATTCAATAAATAAATTCTAGTGGAGCAGCCCTGTTTCATTATACAAAAAGTGAATTAATGAATTAAAACATACAAATACTGATGCCAGACATGATTGGAAAATCACATGATAGATTTGTTGAGGATTTCATTAACAATTCTGATTACAAATACGTAAGCAAAGATAGACAAGTTATATGTAAGAATAAATCTGGATATCTCTTCTAAATGAATCTTAACATCAAACCAATCAATTCAGTCAAAAATGGAATCTCCTTTCTTGGAACTTTTACATAAGATAAATTCAATAGGTAAAATGCCTTCATCTTAGTCAATCCAAAAAATCAAATTGAAGGAATTAGCACTGGCTGTTTAAGTTTGTTGAAACTAGACATTAGATACATAAAAGCAAAGAGAAACTTCTTTGATCTCTTCCCCTAAATTACTGATAAGGATCAATTTTTGAATAAGTTAGGAAGTGTAGTTTCATATACAATTCCTAAAGACATCTTAAAAACCATTGAGGGAGTGAGAAAAAAGGAAGACAAAGACTTTATCTATAGTGGGATTGATGATAAACCAATTTAATTACAATGTTATTGCTAGGAAATATCATTCACTTATGCCAATTTCCCAGCTGGATATTGCTTTAAATTTGAAAGAGTCTCTGATTTAGCGGCTTCACAACTTAATAGTTCAATTATTTCAAAGAAATCAGCCAATCAATTAATTGATAAGAAATTAAAAATGAATTAAAATAAATTTATATTCTAAAGCAAATTTGATGAGGACAAAACAATGTACATTGATGGATATTATAAAGATTTACCTAGCTATTCTGACTTAGGATCTAGAATAGAACAATCAAGAAATGATGACAGTTTTGTAACTCCATAGAAATAGGACGCTACTATCTCCAACAAATAAGAAAGGACAGATTCTCAAGATGGATCACCAAAGTTTAATGAAATTTAACCTGCAAGCAATAAAATTAGATATGATGAAGGCATAAGAACAGTTAGATTATTCTAAAATAAAGTTGGGGAAATTGTGAATGATGATGATTAAGTAATGGAGGAGGAAGAACAAGAGTATGAAGGCAATTAATATTAAGGAGTAAACCAAAATTTATTGTACGATGATTCTGAAGAGTAGTAATCCGAACAGGATGCTTTCCAAAGCAGAACAAAATTGGAATAGGCTATCAACCAAAATCAAACTCCATTTCCCATTAAATTTATTCGAATAGCTGAAACCTTCCTGACTTTGTCTATGCTTGTACTGGCCTTTGTTGATTACTTTTTAGATGTAATTATTTTATACACATTATATAGATTAATCAATTGTAAGACATATAACTAACACTAGAAGTTTACAATACTCAAACAAATCTAGTTGCTGAATGGAATTACCTTCTTGAAAATATTAGAGATTTATAACTACTCAATCAAAAATTGTATGGTAATAGTTCAGCCTAAATAACCTAAAATGAAACCGTTTTAAAAAGTGAAATGAAATCCAGCATAGATTATATCTAAGAAGGATTAAATTACATCATTTTAAGTGGCTATCAATTCCCATCTGAACTAAAGACTTTGTATAATGAACCAAATATCAATATGAAATTTAATGCAACTAACAGTCAGCCATATGATTTTTAAGAAGCCTCAAATTAATTACTTAGTTATGCTTTAACTATTATGAATTACCCTTTAGAATCGATATCATTAAAATCTGATGATGTAGCTCTGTATTTTACAATACAGAATGGTTTCAATTCTTATTTGGATGCATAATTGAGTGTGTTATCTTACACTATAGATGATTTCATTTCTAAAACAGCAGATAAATCAACCAATTTTGTTATAATTGTTGTGGTTGCTGGTGTTATTTTAGCTCTATCCTTGGCAATCGTAGTGATTATATTGTTGTCTACTAGATTGGCTAAAGAATAAGTCATCATAATGTTCTTAGAGTTACCTTCTAAAGTTGTCAAAGCTTTGTTCAACAAGTGTGAAGCTTTTGTAAAATATGTGAACTCAATTGATGGGGAAGGCAGTGAGAAGGATGAAGATTTTGAACACTAGATTGAATAGGATGATATGGCAGCTATCGACTCTAAAAAGAAGAAAAAGAAGAAATTTAAAAATACAACTAAAGCTCCAATTAGATTTTATATTTAAGTAATTCTTATAGCAGGATTCATGGAAGCATATTTTATTATGCAACTTGTTCTTCAGAAATAGAATTTAAGTGATGTCAGATAATTGATTTATGAGGCAAATTCAACCATCATGGCTGAAGGCTTTTATGCGTTCTGTAATAATGTTTAGTAGGCTGTCTTAATTGATTCCACTTTGGAAGTATAAAGTTAACCTGCTGTACAAACATAATATGACAATTTATATCGCTTATATTAATTAGATTCAACAATTCACAAAGAACATTCATCGAATATTGATAAACATGAATCAGTCTACATAGAAGCTTACAATACAATTATGTTTTCCAATCCTTGTCAAAGATTAAATGAAATAGCCAATATCAGTATCACTGATTGTGAAGCATTTGCTGAAACAAGTGTTAAAAGTGGATTCACTGTAGCTTTAACAAGATTTTTTGAAAATTTAAGGTATTTATCCAGTATATACACTCTAACCATCTAAACTCCTACGCCTCCCTTATCCGATTTTATTGATTCTGAAGAAATAATTGTATTTGCTAATGAAGCAGACAATTTGAGAATCAATTTAATGAAACTGTCTAAGATGCAGGAAGTCAAACAAATGTAAAGAATCTATTTTAAGTATAATATTCTTATTATGAAGAACTGCAATTCGATATTTAGGAGACAGCTTTATTGAGGGTTCTTAAGTTAAGTAGAATACCTACTTGTCATAAAAATTAGGATTGTTTATATCTTTTATGATAATCATACTCTTAATATATCTATTGTATTGGATACCATTCCATCGACACTTAAATAGAGATATTTGGAAGACTAGAATGACACTCTTGATGATACCTGTTGACAATATTAGGAGATTAAGAAACGCAAAAGCTTACTTAAAGGTATTGATAAATCAATAAAAATGATTCATTTAAGTTTATTAATTTTTAATTATCATATTCAAAATTGTTAAAATTTGTCATTTAAATATTATTTTTCTGAATCTATTATTAAAAGTTTCATTTTTGTATTCTTTAATGAATAAAAAATGATATATTTATCTCTATAAACGATATGGAAAAAATAATACTTTTCAATAAAGATTTGATATATTTTTTGTAAATTATCAAAATCATTTTCTCATTTTTTCATTAAAAATTTCTTATAATATCTTATTTTAATTTTCAAAAATTTTTTCAATCAATTGCTGTGGCAAATTTTATTTTAGTTGCCTTAGAGGAATTTTTTGATTGCATATGCAAAACAAAACACCTTTCCCTGCCTTTATTTACTGATTGATTATCTCCTAATAGCATTCTTTGTGGTAAAAATGTTAGCAATTGAGTCCAATCGACATATTGTTTATGAACATTCTGCAATTTTAACAATTCATTACTTTTGTTTTAAATAATGTATCATTCTGTAGATTAAGAGTATTTTCCATAGGCTGTGAAGTTATTTATTTCTTTTAACCATAACTACGCTAAAATAATGAGTGGTCTATTTGAGGAATTAAATTATCTGTTTTTTACTTTTGAGTAGGTAATTACCTTTAGAATAAATTCTCTTCTATTACACTTTTAGAAGTATTCATACTTGCCTCATAATTATTTATATTTGCATTTTTATTTAATTAAAAATTAATACTATTATCTATTTCTATCAATTATGGGTTTATATTATTAACTCCATTGATGATTTTAATTTTTTTGTTTAAGTGATTTGGTTATGGGCTTGGTTATGTAATTGGTTTAGGATATTGATTATATTATTATTCATTCATTATAGGTACATAATCTTGATAATGTTATGAAACTGCACTTTTCAGTCTTTAAAATTCTTAAATTGGTGGTTAACAATATTGTTAAACATTATGTGAGTTATATTTTTGTGCCATATTATTTTGCTACAACTAATTTGAATTATTTTATTTGATGGAGATTTAAGGGTTGGACTAGTTCCACTAGTTTTTATTATCAGATAACTATATAAAATTTTTAAGTACTTTACACTTATCCTGAGCCTAATAATCAATATTGTTTGAATTTAATTAAAAAAGTTTGGTTCCACTTTATCTAATTTAATTGAAGGATTATCCCAATAATTAACTATTTTTTATATCTGATTCACTCATTAAAATGGGATTTACAGCTGCTGATAATATTTAACAATTACGAATAAATTAAATGCTGTTGCCATTTTAGATTTAGTTTTAGACCCCATTTTGTTAATTGTTTTGCTTTTATAACATAAATAGTGTTAGAAGAACAAATTATATTAAAATTAATCATAAATATTTCAGTTTTATTTTTCCTCGAACAAGTCTTCTATCATAAGTATCTCATCATTATATTAATTCACTGTTATTGAAAGATACTCATTATTCAACACTCTTAAATTCTTGACGTTCTTATTAGAGTTAAAATCCCAACTATTTACATTTAATTAACTAAGTTGGAATGACTTCATTAAGTTTAACACAACACTTTTTTCAATATTTTTATGAAATTTATACAACAACCAATCTATTATTTACTTAGTTTTTGAATATTTGGCATTTTCTTCATCATCATCATCAACAAATTCGAATTACCCAAATTTGAATTTTGGAAACCATTTATCCACAAACTCTATTTTAAGACCATTGATCTTATATCTTAACCCAATTTATAGATCCTTAACTCTAAATCGAAAATTTATTTATTATGATGAATTGGTGAAAATGTTCCATAATTCAAAATGAACAATTAAATCAAATTACTAGATAGGTACCATTATTAGGATTGTATTGTTCTAATGTTCGAATTCAATATCTGTTTAATTCACATAATATTGAAAATCTTTTAAATTTATATGAGTCAGATTGGCCTTCAAAAACTATTAATCAATCAATTGCTAGACTTAATTAAGTTAGTACATAATTAATATTTATATCCTACTTCCCTAGTTAGGAAAGATGATTTGAAATATGAAATCCAATCTTTTTTAAAAAAATATCCTTATTTATAAAGTATTCCTTATCAACTATGTATCTTTGATTCTTTTGACTGTCTTTAGTTATGGTATAAGTTGTAAATATTGTAAAAATTGCAATACCGATCAAAATAATAGTAGGCTCCATTTTTATAAATAAAATCTATATTATTCAATAATATTTTTTTGAGAGCTCACCAAGGAAAAAAAATGATAATACTTAATATTAATTTAGAATTTCTATAAGCAAATTCTATTAAAGTCACAAGTTATTGATCAAAAATTTATTAATAATTTTTAATAGAAATAGAATGCAACTACAAGTCCATCATGATGGCCAAGACTTTTCAATTTAATGTGCAAATTCTTAAATCTACGGTCAATAGGTCTATGAACAAATATCAAATAAGTTAAATTTACATTTAGATTCTTTTGATCTTTAAATTTGCTCAGAATTAGGCAATAAAACTTTAGTTCATCATTAAACACTAGCATAGCAAAATATTACAAATTAATAACTTACTTCATTGCTTGTTTAGGTTAAGTAGTAATAGAGATATACATCAGAAAATACTTTTGTTAATTCTAATAAATAATTTCAAGGATTTCAACCACCTGCAAATAATTTAGGACTAATTTCAGGACCTATTTAATTTAATGGTAAAATAATTAATTATGATTCAAGATTAAATGCTCGGAAATGTTCAAAAATAAAATTAATTTCCTTTTTAAAACTAAGATCCATTTAATCATTCAGGCTAATTGATGCAAAACCCAGCTCTGGGTGGCTTAGGGTCAAACCCTCCTTTTCTTCCCTAAATTTTATAATAAGGCCCGCAATTCACACCCAATCAAAATTAATTTCCACCAGTTCCAATGAATAACAATCAATTATCATCAGCACCCCACTAGAATACAATGGGATCACCTGGGGTTATGGTCACCAACGATCAACTTAACGCATCTACATCTGCATTTCCAATTCCTACTGCATATTAAGGACCTTAATTTCCTATAAACTCACAATATCCAGTTATAGCTTCAATAAACCCTCCTTAATTTCAACTTCCAAAACCAACCCTGAATAGCCAAGGCATAAAACAACCAGATAAATAGATTGAGAAATTAAAAGAAAATTATGAAGAATAAATCGACAGTTTAAAAGAGACCATTAGAAGGTTGGAAAATTAAATAAACTAACTAAAAAAAGAAAATTAAAAATTGAAAGCCGATAATGAAGAAGAGCTGTTTCTACAAAAATAAGGACACACTAATGAATTAAATAAGTTTTAGGATGCTGCAAACTATACGAATTAGTAAAATTAAACGAAAGTCAGACAACTAAATGCAGAAATAGAAGACTTAAAGTATAATAATATTTTATAAATTTTAGAGAATCATTGCATCAAGTGGAAAGTGATTATAACAGATATAAACAACAATGCCTTCGATAGACTGGAACTAATAATTAAGAAGCATTTGCATAGTTTTAGAGCTAAATAGAAGAATTAAGAGCGAGAAATACCTAATTAACTAGACAATCGAGAGAGAAGGATTAAAAGATATCAAATTTGGAATACGAAATAGAATAATTAAAAAAACAATTAGAAAGAAGAATAGATAACAAATAATAAATAAATTAATCAAATTAACATGAAGAACTTGCTAAACTTATTAGAGAGTAATCAGCAAAGCTTTAAATGCTCAATTCTAAAGTTGATGAGTTAGAACATAAAGCTTTTGTAGAATAAAAGAAAAGAGAGGATAGAGAAAAAGAAATTGGGAAGTTAAAAGAAACTGTTTCTAATCTAGAAACATAAATTGAATTACAATCAATTGAAATAAAACATGATAAAAATATCATATAATACATTCAAGAAGAAGCAAATAAAAATTCTAATGGAAACACGAGAGCATCATTTATTCCAAATTTAAGTTAAGAAGTACAAAGACTTCAAGAAAATACATAGCGAGAAATTAATGAAAGAAAGAAATAGGAAGAAGAGAAAAAATAAAATGAATTGTAGAAATAAAGAGAATAGGATGAGGTAAGAAGGTAAGTCATAATTGCGAGGGATTAATAAGCAAAGATTGAAAAATAGAAAAAGGCTTGCAAATTAAGAGAAGCCATTATGAATTCATAAGGAATTCTCTAAGTCGGACTACTTGTTGATGTAACAGGATCTATGGACGAATATAAAGATGCAACAATGAATATGATCCAAAAAACTATGGGTTGCATTAAAAATTAAACAAATCGAGATTGTGAATGGGGAGCTGTTTGTTATTAGGATTTTGCAGAGTTAAAACAAAGAGGATAATATATGTAACATCATTTTACCAAGGACTCAAATACAATGATAAGCTTCTTAAAGAAGATTGCATGTGATGGTGGAGATGATGGTGCTGAAGACTTAAGAAATGGAATTAAATAAATGATAAATAATTTGAAATGGGAGAAATATTTTAAAATCGCTTTATTAATCTGTGATGCTCCATGCCATGGTAGAAAATGGGCAGGCAAGGTTTTGGATGATTATCCAGATGAAGATTTAGAAGATGCTTTACAATTATTAATTAATAAAAATATAGTCTTGATTGGAATTGAATTCTCATAAAATACAGATGTTATGTTTGCTTAAATGAAAAACTTTTATGCAAAATAAAACAAATAATAAATGTTAATTATAGTGGATTTAAAAAACCGTAAACCTGATTAAATTTAAGACTAACTAATAAATATTATATCTGAGGCATCCATCTCCATTACTGAAGTGAATTAATAAGGAACTAAAACTAAGAAATAAAATTAAAAAAAAGATGGGGCATTTGAGGCCTTATTTAAGTTGTTACCTGATCCAACAAAATTCAATTTAGATCCTAAAATAACAACTATCGAAACTAAATTTAAGGTGTTTCGTGTAGAAATTAATTAGTAAGCTTTTGAAAGAAATATTTCATCCATCTTCAAAATTAAAGTGCCAGAAGATTATACTGTAACACTTGAAAGTGAATGGAATTGCATAAGAACATTAAAGCCATTTGCTTTTGGGCAACTTAAAGAAGTTTACCTGATGAAAAAATTGAATAGTTAAGAGGAGGTTTATGTTATTAAAATGCCAATTGGGTATTTATTCTATTTATTTCTAGAGGTTAAACTTATAAAACCAGAAATGAGGCAATCTTGGAATGCAGATCCCATTTGATTTCAAAAAGCCTAATGCAAAAATTTATGTTGGATTTAAATGATAAAGGGTTCTAAGATATTTAAATTAAGTATTCAGATTTCTTAATCCTTTAAGAGCACGATAGTATAAATTATTATATTATTTTTAGCAAGCTTTTGGATTGCAGAAAGATTTTTCAAGGGAGACTTTGTCAAGTTTAATAATAACTATGGGTATATTAACCCAAATAATACTCTATTAAACAATATAGCTTAGGTGTTTTCTTATTATACATATCATATTAGTGAATTTTAATATCTAATTTGCGATGTGTAAGGAGTTGGTTGCAACTTCACAGATCCAGCAATCAATACAAGTGAAGGAAATTTAGATGAAACGGACTTGGGCTAAGAAGGAATTGGATAATATATTATTTCATTTGAAAAGGATAAATAAACACGTTATCAAAAATACTTAGATATGTTAGAATTAAAGGATTGATTCTTATACAAATATATATTAAAGGTTATATAAAATTTACATTAATATATATATAATTAATATGTTTGTTCAATGGCTCAGCTTCTCAAATATTGAGTTTTATTAAAAGTACTTTTATCTTATATATTAATCCAATTTTTATTTAAGAATTATATCAAGAAAGAATATAAAATCAAAGCTAATTTGTAAAGCTTTCTAAAAAAGAATAAAATTAACATCCAAATCGAATATTTGGGTTAATAAGTCAATAATAAATTCTATCATGAAAAATCATAGCCCTTTAACTTTTTATAAGTCTCAAGATCGATTGGAATTTAACAAGCACGATTAGGATTGGTTTTACATAATTCACAATTCCTATCTCTTTCTTCAGTCATATTTTTTTTATTTTCTTCAACAGCATAATTGTCGCATCCTTTTCGATGAAAATGATTTCCATGAGATAAAATTGGTCTTCTGTCCACTGAACAAATAGAGCAAAGATCCATTTTACATTAATAACAGGTCACATGATTGCATCCATCATCTTTTGTTTGTATTAAATTACAAAACTCACAAACTATAATTGGTTACCCTTGAAATACTTTAAAAAGTTCTTATCTAATATTATAACACTTAAAATCATAAAATAATATATTACATCTGATGATTTGCCATGAAATTTACTCCTGCATTTAGAACAAATTTCGACTTCACAGTTTTTACATTTAATTGCAAAAATCTTTTCTTATTATTAAGGTATTATAGGGAATTTTGCTTTGCAATTAAAGCATGTATCAACGCATTTCTCAATAATTTACTTTTAGACTTTTTCTTGAAATTTATTTAAACCAATAACTTTTTTCAAAAAAATCATCTCAAAGGGCTTCGAGCAGAAGTAACATTTTTTATTCTCAAAAATGTCATCTGATTTTTCAAGATCGTCTTCAACACAATTTCTATGAACAATTTTTTGGCAACATGGTAAAATAATTTAGTTTTCAAAAGTCTTCTCATAATTTTAAGAACAAATTTCACACTATATTAAATCAATGTGAACTGGAAAGGAGCGAGCCATATTAATTTTTTAAACTGGTTTTTCCTTCTCTTTGTGTTATTCTGATATTTAACTTGTGGTTAGAACAAAATCTTCATCTTCCTATTTTTTTTTGTCTTAGTAATTGGGTAAACTGGAAGAGAAATTTTATATAAATTAAGCTTATAAAGGTTGATTTTTTTAAAGTTTATTGCTAGGTGTGTATATTCTAGATTCTTGAGTTAGTGGGTTGGGATGATTAGGAGTGAAAAGTTTTTGGGAGTTTTGAGAAACAAACTAGGGGGCTTTAAATTACTATTTCTATAACGAAAGCCCAAATATAAAAGAAAAATTTTGAGTACTATTTTTCATTTCGATAATTATTTTAAGAACTTAATCGTCTGTTTCCCCAAATTCCCATTACTTATTTGGTTAAGTTATAATAAATATCAATTTAATTTATAGCAATTTCGCAACTTCTTTTAATTCAATTTACTTTGAATTTAGGAGCATTTCTATATTTGAAATTTTATTAGCATTAATTCCCATTTCTTAAAGTGTTGTTTTTAATGGAAGCTGCTTTTTTGTTGATGTTTCATTAAGGATCTATTAAAAATTCATTATAAATGCTTGAATTGTTTAATCTTTAAAATTTGGACTAGTCATCCATAATTTATCTTTTTGAAAATACAATCTAGCTTATTATTCTTCAAATCGATGCTCCTCCAATAATTTAATAGGTTAGGCAGAACGTTTAAATGGGATCTAATTGTATTAGCTATTCATATTTTTCTCCATCTATTTCTATTAAGTCTACAAATTACACTCCATCTATTTCTATTAATTATGCATAATATTTTATAAATATTTGTTAATTAAAGAATTTAATTAGTTAAATAAAAGAAACAAGAATTAAGTACACAATAAGTTGGATTGAAGTTTTCAATAATAAATTTTTGGATAAGTCTATTGATTTACACAATCTAGATTAATCCATCAAAACTAGTTTTCAATCTACAATGAGATAGGTTGTGCTGATTCTGAATTTTGTTTGATTCAAAAAGAATAAATATTTATATATAAGATTTTACTTCATTTTAATTGAAACAATTTGTTCTTGCTTTAAAATTAATAAAATCCTAAATCATTAATGCTTTTGAATAGAAACAATTTATTAAGTTAAATATATCATAATCATTATTATCATAAATGTAATTTTAATAAATATCCAAGTCTTCACCTTCTAAGAATTCTACACAAAAAAAAACTATATTTCATTAAGAAAAGCAAAGTTAGGATGGTCAAGAGAAAGAAGAGAAGAACGAAAAAGCAGAAATAGATACTCATACAGTTAAATTTGCAAAGTAAATGAGATTAATGATCCATTAATAACAAAATGCGTAAGATGTTTGATAATTTAGCAATTTGAGAGAAAGTATTGCTAATTTGAAAAAGAGAAAAACTTTGGAAGGTTTTTCAGGCGAGACACCAGTTTCAATTCAGTAATGTTTCTCTTTTCTTAATTCTGCAATCTAAAATGCTAGAAGCTTAAGGTTATTTTGATTTCTAATCCAATAGATCACTTGACTTATCAGGTATGGAAATTGATCCCCTGTTGGCTATAGAATTAGGATAAGGGCTTTAAAAAAATTCTTCTTTAAATGAAATCAACCTTTCAGGCTGCAAGCTTAACAGCTTTAGTTTATAATATATATTTTCATCGATTGCAAATCACTAAACTTTGTAATCAATCAATTTGTTTAATAACCAAGGCTTTAATATTGACCTTATGAATGATATTAATCAATTTGTTTTTAAAGGAAAGAATAACCTTAAGAAATTAAAATTAACTCATTGTAACATATCTAGCACTGCAATGAGTTATTTATTGAGGAATCTTAAGTAAATATCAAATCTATTTTAGATACTCTCGATCAATAAATGCAATTGATATTTCTATGATGTAGTTCACTACTGATGTTTTAACCACTTTAGGCATGGCTCTTTAGCACTATAAAGGTAAAAAGGTTTTAGAGTATTTGAACATTGGAGATACTAATATAAGAAATCAAGGTGTAGAAGTCTTGGCACAAGTAGTAGGCTGGAATATTAGGAAAATTAACTTGAAGGAACTGAACATAAGAAGAAACTTTATCAATTAAAAGGGTGTTCAACATCTTGAGTTATTTTTAAGGAAAATAAATAACTTATAAAAATTGGATTTATCATAAAATTAATTAGAGGAATTTAGTTGTTAAAATTTGTTATCAAGAAAGATGTATGAAGTAAATTTGAGCTCTAATTTAATTTCTTGTTTTCCTCAATAGTTCTTTTTGAACACTTTAGTTATTAATTTAACAAATAACAATATAACTAATCAAGGTGCATTTCAATTGTCAAGCATACTTAGGTAGAATCCGCTTTGGATAGAACTCAATCTTTCAAACAATCAAATAAAAAGTGAAGGATTCAATTCCCTAATATTCGGTCTAAGGGATAACAAAATGCTTAAGAAATTTATTGTAGCCAACAATAATTTAGACGGAGAGGCGATAATCACTTATATGATCAACCACGAATAGGTTTACTTTGAACATTTGGATGTATCTTATAATTTTATAAGATATGCCTTAATATTTTTTTTATTAAAATTCATAAAAAGTGGATGTCTAAGATGTCTTCGATGTTCCTTTTAATAAAAACAATAAAATGAAGCATGGGACATTAACGTAAATCCGACTTTATTTCATGAAGAGGAGAAGATTACTAAATCTGCTTAAAACTAATTTTAATTAATATCTTTTAATTTAAGAGAGTTAGACTTTTCAAAAAATGAGAATATTTTTACACCTGTTATTAGTTCGTTAGCAACATATTTTAATAAAATAGAAATCCTGGATTTATCTTCTTGTAAACCTGTAACCGAGTATGATTTAGATTTGCTGTGTACATTTTTGAAAAAATCCACTATTGTTCACGATTTAAATTTAAGGGATTTGAATATTGGAAGTTTAAATTTAGAAAGTGTGAAGAAATTAAGAAACTCTATTCTAAATAGCAGTCTTAAGAAAGTAAACATGAGTAAGAACCATTTGTTCAAATTGGCAAAGGCTTTTTAAGTAGAAGAAATCATTACAAATTATAAACTTGAAAGTTTAGATATGAGTTGCAATGGGATTGAATCCAAACATACTAATTATATTGAAATTGTTTTATCATCCTATAGAAATTTATAGTACTTAAATCTGTCCCACAATAACATTGGTTTTACAGGCTTGATTTCCATCTCTAGAGTATTGCAAGAAAATAAGTGCTTAAAAAGTTTAAAGTATTAGTTTATTTAATGTTTTCAGCATTTCCAATCAAAAAATGAGTGCAGATGATTTGTTAATCTTGAGTTCAATAATTTCTAATGAAAATCTTTAGTTTTTAAACATATCAGATAATCCTGGGATTAAGAGACTTAAAACATTTTTCAACTTGTGTTAGACTGAAAAGATGGAACTTTTATAATTATCTTAAATGCATTTTGATAAACCAAATTTTAAAAATCTTATAAATATCACTAAAAAATAAACAAGGAATATTGTAGGGATCTCTCTAAATCGATGCAGTTTCAGATTGAATGATTATGAAAAATTTGGATAGTAATTGCTAAAATGTAAAAAATTATAAATGTTAAGTATGACGTACAACCCATTAATTTATGTGGATCTTAATAAAACTGTAGCAATATTAAATGCATTGTCTAACTTGAAAATATTAAAGCTTAATTAAGTTACATTTTCAGGAGAGTCCTTCTGTAATTTCAAAGAATGGATTTTGAGCCCAAATAATTGCAGTGTAACCAATTTCATTATTCTAGTTGATCACACTAGATCTTAGTGAAAATGTATTACGATAAGAATGGCTCGATGAATTGTGTATTGGAGTTGCAGGCAATAGAACTATTTAACATTTATTTCTGAATAAATGCAATTTAGGAAAAATTAATTTAGAACCACTAGGCTTAGCTATTTCTAAGAATCTCGCACTGAGAAGAATATCAATAGCTAATAATAACATTGTAGATAATTTATGTAGCAGCAAATTTGCAGCTGTCTCACAATATAATACTATATCATTTGAAGAGCTAAATTTATCTGATAATCCCTTAGGAGAGAAAGAATTAATTTAATTTTTTACACCTACAACATTTCAAAATAAATCAAAGTTAGTTGCCATCATAAAACAACTCAACTTATCGAGTTGTAAGTTACAAATGAGTTTTTTTTAAAATCTAGTGAAAGTGCATCAAATTTATAAGGAATATTTTTTATTTTCTCATATCATAAGTCTATCCTTAAGCAATAATCAATTGGATGATTCCGTTGGAGATTTATTACAACAAACTATAATTTAATCTACTTAATTATAGGAGTTATATCTTTAACAAAATTTATTAACAAGTAAAGGAATGATTTAAATTCTGGAGGGAATTTTCTCTACATAAACAATTAAAACAATAAATATTAGCAGTAATAAAATAGGAGACGAGTTTGCTATTAAATTAGATTAGTTAAAGAATCAAAAATGGTCCATTGAGTTCTTATTGTTAAGAGATAATGACTTTAAGAAATAAGGTTTAAAAATATTAGCTTAAATTCTATCGTTTTAAAAGAACTTATTTATAGATAATATTTGGTCCAACTTAGATGATGAGGATGCAGATAATATTTTAGAGCAATATACTAGAATCTGTCAAAAGTATCGTTTAGATTAATCATCGTTGCCTTCCTTTTTAAAAGAAATTCAATTGTCAAAATCAAATCTCACTGATAAATTTTGTGAATCGTTTGGTAAATATTATCCACTTTTGGGGTTCATAGAATTTATTGATGTTTCAGATAATCCATGTATTACTATGTATGGGAAGGTATATTTATTTTTTCATCTATTTGATTACAGTTATGAGAAGCATTAATTAAAAGCTTTACATATAAGTGATACTCAAGAAACTAGAAAATTATTTGATGATGGGCTACTGCGTTATTTAACGTTACGACTGAGGAATTATCTTTTGCGTTAGTCAAAATAAAATTTGAAAAAATAGCATCCTTTATAGCAGCAAGAAAATTCTGAAAAACAAACTTAAAAACTATTTGGAGGTATGTTAGGATCATGGCTAATTCATAAGGTTAATAAACTGATGAAGTATTTAGACTTGATTGAGCCTTAGGTTTTTATAGTAAGCACTCTGTTTATTGGTAAATTTCGAAGGAACAATATCAATATTAAGATATTAGTTTTTCTATTTTGGTTTGGATTTATTATGGTAAACATTTCATAGTTTTTCAAATTATTTATATAAGTAAAAGGTAAGAATCAGAGCTCTATCTTTAAAGGCGAAAAGAATAAAGAAATAACCAGCGCTATTTACACAGATTTAACTTACACTTTTATAATAGTGGGAACAATATTGATTATCGAAATATTACAATTAGTCTTAACTGTGGCTTTAAGAAGAAAAATATAACCTGCATTGCAAATCATACATCCAAAAATGTTGGAACATTTAAGAGCCAAATTTCCGCATAAAAGGGAAATCTTTTTAATGATTTACTCCATTTTTAGTAAGTCAAGCACATTAGCTGAAAGACTGTTTTTAGCTTCTTTAATGAGTTTGAGTGATGATATTGTAGATGAAAACATTTCTAAATTTCAGATCCTCTTTAGCATTGTGATATTTGCAAGGTTTGCTGACTCATTTATTATTACCTTAATAAATTTAATCAAATTTATATCTGCTAATCCAAGTGATGATCAAGCCAAATATTTATCCTTGTTGTAAAGAAATTTCTATTACTAAAATTATTTTGTTTCAA